TGCGCGCGTTTAAACAAAGGTTTTTCGTCATGGGAATATACATGCACCATTTGATTAACGTCTATGTTTCTGCGACTCAGATTTGTCACATTTTCTCGAGTTTTCGCTTCGGTACATCAAATTTCCAGCCAAAAATCTAAATGTCTAATAAAAGGTACAGAGGTCGCAAAGACTGAAATTTGAAAAGCGTAMCAAAGTATATTTTGGTGCATTTTCAGACATTTTATGGTAATGTGGATAATTCTGGAATCTTCAAGCAGATTCTTTATCAAGGAATCATTGCAAGATATTTACGTATCCTACCCATAATGCAACACGGAGCTGTTTGTATGAGAGCTGAGATATATGGAATACGAATACAATCAAGTAAGATAAAAACACGTTATAGTTATCTTGAGAGATGGAACAGCCCTTGAGTGAATCTCAATTAGGACCAAGTGCATGTCTTGGGGAAAACAATTGTATGAGTTGTATTCATATTTATTGTCTTCTCATGCGCAACCGTTAAACAAAGAAATAATACTCTAGGGAATAGGTGGTGGGCTGAAACGGGAAATCGTCACGCCCTGAATCTAAGAAGGTAAATTGTGACTGCATTATGGTATTATATTATCTACTATGTTTATTTATTTCTCCTCAGCCTCTAAAGTAAACTACGCCTACGATAAAACAGCAACACAGTCCAGTACTGGTTGGGATGCACCGCCTGATCGTGCAGTTGATGGGAATCGTAATCCAAACTTTGATTCTGTTAAAAGCTGCACCCACACGGAAATGCAAGACAATGAGCCCTGGTGGATGGTTGATCTTGGTCAGAGTATACCTGTGTATGAGGTGTTCATTGTTAATAGGAAAAATCACCACGAGAGGCTGCACGACTTTCTAATTCTTATTGGTAAATAATTCCATTTAATACTAAATTTAAACAATAAGGCATCACAGCAGAATGACTAGGTGAATCATTAACGTTGCGAGGAAGCATTTATTTTTGAAACACGACCTGCAATTTTGTTGAATGGCGTCGTGATTTTGTCAGCCAAATTAAGGTGACATTCACACATAGCGCTGGTCGATGCGGTTGGCTTTACAAATTAATGATTTTTATAGTAAAAATTGGTACTCTATTCACATMCGATGCCGAGTTCGGAAAGCGAACGCGGGTCGCCTTGGTGAAAGGCGAGCGCTCTCATCGCTACGACACAGTGCTTCTCTAGGTCAGATGGCCACGAGTTTTTAAGATTAACCTAGTTAAAAAACAAACACCATAACGAGAAAGAATACATCAAAATTAGTAAATTTCTGAGGTCGAGAGATTTTGGTTTTTAAAAATTTAATTGCGTAGCAACCTCCCAAACATCTCAAAAATAACAAAGAAATATATGGTTACTGGGGACGCCTGTCCCTAGTAAACATACCGAGTTTCTTTCTAATTTTTGGTGTTTTTGATTGCTTAAATTTAGCTGTTACTTAGCCGGTCAAAGCCATACAACAGAAACCTGTTAATTGTGATGTGATATGTTCTTTCTCGTCGTGGGAAKGTATTTTAATAAGATTAATCATCAATACCTTCCATGTACTCGTTACCAGTCCTTCACTCGTTTCTAAAGTGGCCAATAGAGAAGAGCGAGGACAATAGCTATGTCAATGTCATTGTATAAAATAATCAATAACACGAATATCTTTCATTACTAGGTGGAAGTTCAAGCAATGGTGGCAAATCCAATCCCGTTTGTAACAGTGTGAAGGGCCCACTGCCCTCTGGGATTGGAACGTCTATCTACTGCCATCAAAGCATGATGGGACGGTTCTTGACTATCACGTTTGACAATCATGTGGGAATCCTCACATTATGTGAAGTTGAAGTTTACACTGAAGGTAACTGATTGCAAAATGGTTTTGTCTGGATGAGTGTTAATAGACGAATCCCGCGAGATGCGAGCGCTTTTATGAGTGCTTTTGCGCAGACATGAAAACGAGGCATTTTCGGAAGGAACCTTTGGAAACCATAGAGTTATAGGCGATCTCTACAACCCTTTAAGGAAATATTAAGTTAGCTATGAAGTTTTTATGTTTTTTCTGTAGAGCGCGTAACATATTGCCCGAAAATGACTCGTTTTCGAATCTGAGCACGCACAGATATTTTTGAAGGCGATCGCGCATCTCGGGAAATATCTATTCTCATGGAAGGGCAAGAGAATACGAACTAAGAAAAGGAATCCCCGTGTCCCATCATGTGCACACTTTGATGCTATTTTTAGAATCTATTCTAAAAATATTACCCAGTGATATCATTTATTTGATCGTTTGATTTTCTGCACGCGCATAGTAGGCGGCGCTCTACGCTGTTTGCTAACGTTTTCTTGTGCTTTTCTTATGTTCAAATGTTCAAATCTGTTCAAAGGTTCAAATCCCTCAAGATGACGATGTAGGTCGAAAGCTTTGGAAAATAAATGTAAAAATACTCCAGAAAGTTGAACAAATTACTATTTCAATTTTCTGTCGTATTTGCCAAGCTTTCGACGTGCACATTCATGTTCAGTGTAGAGTCGCGCGAAATAACGGAAAACCACCAAAAACGAGGAAACAGCGTAGAGCGCGCGCAGTAAATGCGCGTGCAGAAAAACTAATTGTTTAAAAATAGCATCAAACTGTGCACATGATGGTAACAATGCTATATAGGGGGATTCCTTCTCTTAGTTCATTTTCTCTTGGGCAGGGTCATTATCCATTAAAGCAATCAAAGCGCGTTATATCACTGCTCATTCGAAGTACGAGACACCGGCGTCATCATGATAACGGCACGACACTTAAATGCGTGCTTTTTCCAGTTAAAAGAAATTTACTATAAAAATTCAAATAAAGCCGGAAAATATCTATTCTTACGGCAGGGTTACGGTACGAAATCATGGGACGATATTCATTGAACCAATCAAAGCACTTAAAAAACACACTTTTGCTCGTTCATTAAACACTACATAATATCACTGCTCATTCGAAGTACGAGAATGCGGGTTCATCATGATAACGGCACGACACTTAAATGCCTGCTATAAAAATTCCAATAAAGTTAAAGTGCTTATAAGCCTTTACACAATATTTTCAGAATTGATTCTTTAAATAGTGAATAGTTGGTTGTGAAAATAATTCGTCATTTGAATGTCGGATCTTTGAGATATGAAGGTTTATATTTCCAATATGTTAATGACTATGACGTAACATAAGGGATTTGAGTTATTTTGTGGCAATTTTTAATATTGAGCGCTGGACATTTTTTGAAAACAAATTTGTAAGAACCTTTACGTGAGTCACGAGTAAAAGGGTGATGCTTTTAAATGTTGTATTCCAGAACGAGTGCAGTGTTGTTTATTAAATGATCCCTTATGTTACGTCATAATCATTAACATATTGGGAATAAAAACATTCGTATCTTAAAGACCCGACATTCAAATGACGAAATATTTTCACAATCAACTATCCACTATCTAAAGGCTTTTAATTTCAGTGCCTTCAGTTCGACTCCGTTGAGCTGACGTACTTGCGGTTGTGATTAGAATTGAACCTTGGTCTTCAGAGCTAGACATCCAGGAATCAGTCCTCAGGATCTCCACGTCTCTTTCGACTTCTCTATTTTCTTTGTAGCTTTATCTTTAAACACCAGTCATGAGAGAACATTTATTGTCTGAGGAGGTGAAGGGCGCAACTTCTAGCGCTTTACAGACGACTTTCATAACTCAGTTTTTTCAGACAGAGAAAATGAAGCCTTTTTAACAGAAACTATTAATGCTATCTGAGGAAATACTTCACGAAAACTATTTCCAGAAAATTTTATAGAATTTGACCGCATACCAAAGAAGTTATGAAAGACAAAAATAGAGAGTTTTGTATGTATTTATCACTGGAAGCCTTGGTGGCCTCGTTTTGGTGCATGTTCAAAACTTCAAATGCTCACATCTTGTAAAGGACTTATCAATTTAAGTAGAAACTCACACGCCTTATCTAAATCAACAAGATCAATGATTTAAAAGGGTTTTCACTCCAAAAACATTGATTTTCAATGTTTACGCAAATTAGTAGCAGCCAGTCGTGTATGAAAGTCGTGTATGTATGATCCCCTGGCTCGAGAGAATTTGACTACCACTCCCCCGCGTTATGGAAGTAAAAATTTAGCTTTACCTTTTATTAACCTTTTTAACAAAGACTTTTTTTTCTTCAATTAACAGAAACTATAGAATATTTATAGTAGAAACAGTTTTTAAAGTACATACCATTTTTCTTTATTTTTAGTTTATATGGAATTAGCCATTGGTATATCCAATAGCAGCGCCGTACCAGACAACAGAATGTCGGCAAGCTCTAATTATAGTAACACGAGGACTGCAGCCAAAGCCAGGCTCCTTGGCAATTATTCATGGAGACCACGTGACGATGATACCAACCCATGGTTACAAATAGACCTTGGAGAGATTTACTACGTGTGTGCTGTGGCTACACAAGGTGACCCGGACGGTGACGAGAGGACAATAAAGTACAAAGTTGAAGGATCTATAGATAATCTACTATGGATGCCTGTAGAAAGCAAAACATTGAAAAAGGAAATGGTAAATCGATTGAGGGAAATATTACATAATATACAATTGCTGATTGATCAACTTAAAACGCTATGAAAAAAACAGTCTACAACTTTATTGTCCGTCGTCTTTGCGATCGGAAATCATTACATGTCCAGATATATTGTTAAACATAGAGTTTGTGAGGTTTTGAGCATCAGCGGATTTGTGGCACTCTATGTTTAGGATTTGTGGCATTTTCAAAGATCGGACTGGGAAGGAGGGGTTAGGATAGAAACTATACTCTTTGGTTCTCTTGTAACTTTATTTCTCGATGTGTTCAGGTTTTTAGTGGTAACCAAAATAAGTCAACAAGCATCATCAAGCATTCCTTGCCAAGTCCTCTAGCAGCTAGATTTGTACGGTTCTATCCTGTAGAAAATATTGAAGCATACGCCCTTAGAGTGGAAATATATGGTGTTACCAAAGTATCAGGTACGCATCTCGATTGTCTTGTTGGAAAGCCTAGGCAGATGTAAATTGTGAGTTAATGTTTGGAGGGTGGGGTGGGGATAAAGAAATAACTTCAGAAACAGAATAACTTTAGAAGACTGCACACTCAATACAGAATCTGAAGTTATAAAATAAAAGCTTTTCAAACGTATAAGCAAACATAAAAAAAGCGTTTTTGTATTTTGTTAGTTCCACCGATACCACCACCGATAGGGAACAAAGAGCTGCATCCCAGTCTGGGTTCGCATATAGACTTGGTGTGCAGAGCAGAAGGAGGACTGAGCATCAAATGGTACCATAACGACACAGACATTACAAGTTATTCTATCGGTTCAGTAGGAACAGGATCAATACTCATATCAACACTACGTGTAAACTACACATCAGTTGATGATGTTTATGACAAATATTCTTGTGACGCAACGAAAATGTACTGTACCAGTTTGGACTACATTTGCCAAGTCGATTATGGTTCATACAGAAAACTGCAGAGCAGGGGGAAAATCTCCACATTATTAGGTATGTATTTTTGTTTTCGGTTATTATTTGTATTTTTCAAGAAAGAACTTTTTCAATGCAACATATGAATTTAACTGAGAAGCAAAGGTCTGCAATAATCGGTGATGTGTTTCAGTCAAGACTCAGTGAAAGTCCATGTGGAATTTCAAGGTTGCGCATTCTCTACCTTCCCATTCATCTGTGTGATATATTTTATGCTGAAACGATCCTAACCCTAAGTTAATAACTTATTACAGACGCTTTGCACAGACCATCACGTTATAGCAGCCATGACCGACAGGAAACAAGAACAATTTGAGAGCAATTTTTACATGAGAAAAAATGCACTTTCCCAGGGGAAAACACTTTATTGTTGTTCCTCTTGTCACTTTATTGTTGTTCCTATGGTCGTGGCTGCCACCACGTGAGGTTGCAATGCCTCTATAATGGGATCAGCAGAGGAAAGTTGATTTCTTTGTTTTTCTACAAAACGTAGTGCCCACTAGACCAAGACATCTTAACGCCACAATCAACCCTCAACGTGGGACCCAAAGACCAACTGTAACGTTGAAGTGGGAGAAACCAATGAGAGCGATAGGCAAAACAACAAGCTATACCCTATGTTATAACTACGTCATTGATAATAATAGCAGTATGAAGTCATTGACCATTACGGATTTAACGGGCATGAGCTACACGATCGATGTCATTGGTGGAGCTCGTTTCGAATTCTATTTAAAAGCCAAGGCCAATGGTCTTATTGGAGATCCCTCTCAAACGTGGACTGCAAACATTCAGGAATGTAGTAAGTATTATTCAAATTCCTATGACATGCTTGTATAATGTTTTAACAATTTTCAGATAAGTGCAATCCTAAAGCAGTAAAAAGTAACTTTTTGAAATTTTAATGATTCCCTTTGAACGACTAGTCAAGGCATGGTTAATTATCAAAACAGCGTGTTAGGTTTTGTAGAGGGAGGAAAACTGTAGAACCCGGAGAAAAACCCTTGAATCTGGGGAGAGACCTAACAAATTCTGATCAAATGGGATTTCGAGTCAAGGAATCGAATCCGAAACTTAGAGGTGGGAGGTAAGAGACTAGGAGTGCACAACCTTACGTCAGCCTTGATTCAATCGTTTTTTTTTTTTTTAATTGCATTTAATGTCGAAGGAAGCGTTAATAGAACTAATTATCTTCTTACGTAATTGCCCATTTCAAGCCATGTGATGGGACGTTCTCTGGAGAAATGTTTCATTATATCCACATGAATAAATTTCAAAAAGATAAAGAAACAATTGTCTAGAGAACATCATGTAAGCATGATATGGTTTGAAATGGACAATTTCCATACGAATGTAATTAGGTCTATATTGATTTCAGTGCAGTGCAAACTTGCAGTGCAAAGGTAAGACTACAAAGAAATACTCACTCTTAACACTCTTAACGCTCAAAACAGAACCGTCATCTGCTCCAGCAAATATCAAAGTGATCAAGATTGAAAATGGAAAATACAACGTGTCATGGGAAGAAACACCCAGAGAGCTAAACAATAGTAAGATTATTACCTACGAGATAAATTGGTCTTCCTTGGCTAGACGAATGCGTCGATCAACTGTTGCATCACGTGCAGCTAATGCTAGCGAGTCAACATACACACTGGTGAACATAAGCCTTACAGACAACATGAAGTACAATATCACTGTACGAGGATACACCATTGCAGGTCCTGGTCCATTTAGCGACCCTATAGTTCTTGAAAAAGGTAAATTATGTATTCACAAGAGCTCAATGATTTACTTCGACGATACGGGAATCATTTTGTCAGGGGGCAAAACGAAACAGAAATGACGGAAAATATATGGAGTTTGATGTGTTTGTCTTTTCTTTATGTTGATCAATGTGCAGTGTCTTAATTAATCTTTTGTTGTATGCTTTTGTGGTGACATGTTAATATCAACCGACGTCGGCAACAAAGCTTTATTTTCCCCTGGACGCCCCATAATGCATTGCGATCCAAGATGGCCGCCCTATTGTCGAAGTAATCCATTAAAGCATAACCTTTATGGATGATGGTAGCAAAATTTAGACCGCTATGGTGTGAAAGGGGCGAGCGTATGCATTAATGATTTGGCGCGAAAGTTCCCGATAAGACTACAAAGACTTCATCGATATATGCTAATATATATTTAGGCACTGCCTAAAAGCGGAGCTCCCGATACGGAAGTCACAGGGAGAACAATTTGAATGAAACTGAAAGGTAAAAATAAGATCGGGGRAAAAATCTTCAATTATTTTTTATTCGAGATGAAGATAATTTCTCCCATAATAAAAACCATGCAGTGAAAYCGAATCGAAATGCACTACATTGTTTTGTTGTTGTTGTTGTTTTTTTGTTTTCTTTGCGAGAGTATACTCTCCCACTTAGGAATTTTATACACAACTCACCACCACCTCCAGGGGCTAGTTTTGTTCTTGGAAGATTCTTCGACAAAGTTTTTCAAGGCCGACAGTTTTAGTCTTTGAATCTCTTTTACTAAAAAATAAACGAAAGATAACTACAGATAATCCAATACAATATCAAGGTTAGTGAAATTTACCTCGGATGTCTTTCATTGAATTCGAAAATCTGGAGATTTAGGACAAATCAAGACTAAAAAACAGACTTGAAAACTGGTTAACGTGAGCAAAAAATAAGGTACTTTAGGCCTAGGGTAAACGTCGAACTTTTCATGCACCGAACTTAATTACATCAAAGAATGCCGCCTCAATATCACCTGATATCCATTGATTTTAATGAGTTCGGTGCATGGAAAGTTCGACGTTTGCTTTAGGCCTAAGGTGGAACCAAACTAATTCAGAGTGAATTTTGGACAATTTTATTCTCGCTCCCTTCGCAAAACTAGAGCGTCAATTTAACTGTATTTTTCATATAAAGTGCTTGGATTATCCTAGATTCTAACAGTGTATTTTATTTTAAGAGTTTTTAAATTTTTAGCCTATTAGGGCCGAAAATCAAACAGTGCTTTTTTTAGTTTTTGGGTTTTTTCTCCTCATCCTCAGGTACGATTTTTCTGAAATTTTCAAAATCTTATCATCTAGTACTATGGCAGCCTGTGTATAAATCTTGGAAAGTCTTGGGCAGAAAAAAAGTTATGACGCCGCTTGAAAATTCAATACAAAATTTCAAGCATATAACATATCGCGTTGTAGAAACATTAACATTGAATGGATTGTCTTGAAGTTTTTACATATCTATTTCCAAATTGCAATTGCGGATGACCCTAACGAAAAATCAGATTCAAATCTTAAAAACTCATCGAATAAATGTATTTTTTTTTATAATTGTCGATGTAAACCTCAAAAATGAGAGTTTTCCTAAAAATCACATTTTCGTCGTTTTCTTCAAAATGTCTCCAAGTTTTTTCTTCACACTTCCTACATCAATAGACCAGAGCTTKATCTAGATGGTAGTGAAATTTCTATAGCTCGTCATATCCAAGTTTTGGAGAAAACCTTTTTTAAAGTGAGGTGTACCTAAAGAGCTCACCTCGTCGGTCGACAACAACGCTCTCAGTCGTTCCACACGGTTAAGTTCGGGAGAATATTTGCCTAATATTTGACATCTTCAATGTCATTGTGCTTATGTAGATGTTCTGCCGAACCTGTCCCGAAGTTAACATTGAGGAATGTCCGAGAGCGTTGTTGTCGACCGATCTGATTGAATTAATTATTTCTAGCGGGGTGAGCTCTTTAGGTACACCTCACTTTAATTAGGTCTTTTACAGTTTTCCAAAAGCTTACATTCATTTAAACTTGACAAGAACAACTGAGACAAAATAGAAAATAATGCAAAAGGCAATGCAAAATACAAAATGACTAATTTCTTTGTCAGTAAATTGGCGCTTGTAAATGTTTTGAATATTTTTTAGCTTTTTAAAGTGAAAGTCTTGGTCTTTATGCAATAACATCTCTCAACAACACAAATTGAAGCTCATTTTTATAATCATACTTGCTCGAGCAGCTTAATAAACAGTTGGATATTTGATAAAAATCACGTACGATAGTTGGATAAAACAACCGAATTGTTAAAGATTTACAAAGCTAAATAAAGGGCTCTCCGTGTTATATTTCCTCCAGCATTAAAATAAATTAAGCTTATCTATAGAAATATAAAAAGTTTTGAGAGAAAGTCTTTGATTTCTCGATTCGTCGAGAAAAATGCTTGTCAAAAAAACAAATGATATACGATTGGTTGCTAAGAAACACACACCTGAATTCTTAAAGAACACTTCTTGGTCCATCTTTGACTACATGAAAGTATTTTTAAAATTACTTTTGGTCTATAACTTGTCCTAAAGCGATTTTTTCTGTGCATTTGAGAGCCGCATTTGTGAGTAGTTTTGCTTTGACATCAAGCGGGATTCCTGTGTTGTGTACACGGGCGGACGGACGTACGGACGGACGTACGGACGGACGTACGAACGGAAGTGACGTCCGCCAAGCCATGAAAAATCAACTCCATGGTTTACCATTTTTTCTTAAGTATGGTGCTACGCACCATATGGGATCGGAGCTCCGCTATTACCGAAAACTATCTAGCAGTCCAATCCTTTTGACTTTCTTTATTTAAGGAGGCTTCTATTAATCTTTTAAGTAACGATGCCGTTTAGAACGATAGCACCCAACGGCAAGGCATGCGCAGTGAAGATTTTTATAATTGGCTTAGATAATTATATCCAAGCTCTCTGATTGGCCGAAAACAATAGTCATTGTATTTTTTACGGAAAAACGCCGAAATAGTACCGAATGGTCATTCCATTTACCAAAGATACATCGGAACTATTGTGCGAATTTTTTTTAGTCCAATCATGTGGGGAACACTCGGAAATCGTTCCCCACATACAATTTGTTCTCAGCATCATTAAGGCATGGCTCTCAGATAAAAAACTGATTAGCTATATCATAGCCAGTTTTCTACGAATCTTCCCCAAACTTGGCAAGTTAATGTCTTTTGTGAAAAGAAGGAACCTTAGAGCCTTGGTTACCATGGAAACTAAGTCACGTGACCACAAGGCCGCCATCTTGGATTTTTAAACAAGCCGTTTGTAAACGTACCGAAACATCTTTAAAAGTCATGAAAATGCAGATTACTATTCATATTTACAATGCCTATATGGATCTAATGGGATATCTTGGAAATTATTTTAAGTTTTATTTTTAGAATATTTTCTATTTTTTCCAAAAAATTAAAAATATTCTAAAAATCAAACTTAATATAATTTCCAAGATATCCAATTAGATCCATATAGGTATTGCAAATAACAAAAGGAATATGGATTTTCAGGACTTTTGAAGTAGTTTCAATACGATTACAAACGATTTTTTTAAAAATCCAAGATGGCGGCCTTGTGGTCACGTGACCTGGTTTCCATGGTAACGGATATGCGGTAATTGCTTGCCTTGAAGAATTACTACTAAAATATGAATAAATAACTGATTTGAATAAAAGATATGAATAAATAACTGATTTTCCATCACTTACTTCCTCAATAGAGCCATGCCTTAATAATGCTGAGTTCCAAACTCGCCTATGTTATCAATCCTTGTTCAACAAGTCTGCTCGCCAATTTACGGCAACTATACTGGACTTGTATAAGAACAAAAACGAAAATAAGTTTGAATTTGGCGCTTTTCGAATTTAAGCCAATAAGCTTGAAAAATATAATTTAATTAACACTGCCGTAATCCAAATCGTAAACGGCTGCCCATGCCGCGGGCCTAGCCTGTTGTTCTCGCTATCGTTCTAAACGGCATCGTTACTTAACAAATAAGTCCTCCTGACCTAGATCGATCAGATTTCATGTTGGACTCGGATCGAAATTTGCAATGATGACCGTTTAGTTGAATAACCGTTATTATAGTGACGACATGAACGAACGTGACTTAGCATTGGAGTTTGCAGACCACATTATTGGAAAATTCTATATTGCTATGACCTTTTCACTGATTAGATTCACATCGATCATAATGAATCTCGCGCTTAGTATGCAATATGAAAAAGCAAAAAGACCATCACCAACTGTTTTGAAATAGCTGTATACGTATACTTTACTGACGTTCTTAAACGTTAAGAGACGTTAGTCTTTCTTCAGATTAAAGTACCTCATCTTTTCTTTGTAGAGATCGAGAAAGCGGATGGACGTAAAGAGGATGATCAAGTACCTGATTCAGTCATTGTGGTTGCTGTTGTTTTCTCTTTACTTTTTGTCGTTGGGATGATCGTCTTTATTTTCTGGTATAAAAAGTAAGAGTTCACAATAATTTCTCTTACCCGCTGCCGTTCCATACTTGATGCTTTTCTTCTACTTAGAAATACTTTTAGAGTGAAGGCATTCAACCCGTAATAGTCAAATAGACACAAACGAAAACAATGGAATTAGGGATTACTAAAGTGTATTTATACTATTTATATAGTATTTATAATCTTTTTCAAAAATACTGTACTCAAATAAAGCACAAGGGTAGGATCTCATGAAATGCAAAAGTATCACTTTATTCGAGCTGTAAAAGGTGTTATAGTCAGCCTTCATATAGTATGGTTAATCATTTATGCTTACATTTCATTCGAGGCATTTAACTTAACGGCTGAAGAAGTAAAGTTTAGTGATACAAAAAATAAAATTATATCAAAATTAAATAAAAATTTGATTGTTTTTGCAGACGTAAAGGACAAGAAGATACCACTCAACAGGAAAACCCCGGTGGACATTTAAGAATGCGTAGCACAGGTGGCGTAGCGGTGAGACCGCTCGCCTCTCACCAATGCGACCCGGGTTCGAGTCCCGCTGAGCTCGTTGTCGTACAGCGCACAGCACTGTAAACTGAAATGCGTAATTCTTCATTAATGCATCTTTCTTTTTTCTTCGAATTTAGATGAGTATAATCAAAATGAAAATCAGAATGAGGGAAACATAGAAATGGTAGAAGTAGAGGGCGATGCCATTTATGAGAATAAGACAGAAAAAATCAGTATCCGCCAGTTTCCAGACTTTATGAACAGAGTTAGAAGGAATGAACATGAACTACTGATGCACCAATTCAAGGTTGGTATCTATATCCAGTAAAGTGTGAAACATTATGGGTCCAAGTTCCGGTAGATATTACTCTTCTTGTCGTAACGTATATACAGCTATTTCAAAAAATGTTTTGTTGCGTATTATATGCATACCAAGCCAAGTGAATACGATCATCTCAAGTTCACAACAATATAGAATTTTTCCAGACTTTGTCAACACGCTTTCATGGCACATTTTTTCTTCCGTATTACATTGTTTTCATATGATCCACAATACAGTTCAAGGTTGG